CGTGTAGCTTTGCGCGAAATTAAAAAAAAAACAAACAAACACTTTTAAATTTTTGAGGTAATTTAGCACTTGTACTGTTAACAAAATGCAATACCAGTTCATTAGAAAGGCAGTTTCCCCTTTACGTAAGTTTTATTGTTCAATTTTCAGTTACTTACTTCTGATATTATATCTGAACAAAGTACCATTAGATATTTTACAAGCTTTTCTAGTGCTAGCCAACTTCGTTGCATTCAGCCTGATAGAACTCCTAGGCGTTGATCAAATCAACCACTTCATGAAACTGTTTCTAGCACTGTAGCATGTCTTGAAATCTAATATATGTATTTTATAAAGCTATTTAGATACTGTGATAATAGAACATATCTTTCTGAAGAATTAAAACACGGTTATTCTCTAATCTTCTACATAGCTTCGAATATGGCATTATGTATTTATGAGTAAAACGATCTAGAATGTTTTTAAATTCTAGACAAAATCACTTCTGTAAATAATTTCTGACATCTAATGCAGTTAGCAAGTCAATGGTGATTATTTTGTTATCAGAAATGGTATATATGTCTTTGCATAATAATATAGTTTAACATTTACAGTTATAATCCTCTAGAAAAAATACAGTATAATGATATAATGTATATTTCTTTTATAAATATTAATTTCTACAGTTATAATCCTCTAGAAAAATACAGTATAATGATATAATATATATTTCCTTTTATAAATACTAATTTTTAAACTCGAATTTTAATTCTCGCTGTTGGCGTCCTGGATGTGGCCGACTTTTATGTTTTTGTACGCCTGCATATTCCTGGTTGAATCCCAACACAACTTATGGTACGTAAATATTTGCAAACACATAAAGAATTAAAAATAAATAAATTTGCCCTATGATGAGTGCCTTTCAAAATGAGGTTTCACGAACTGCGTTTTTTCTTATTCCCAAGTTTTTCCAAAGAATTGTCAGATATCCCTAGGACTAGCAGATCGTGCCCATTTTGAAATTATGATTTCTGTAGTTTGCTAAAAAAATAAACCTAAGATTATTTTTCACCAAAGAATACAAACAGTAATCAAAGATTGGAATTCGGTTTCCATTCGGAGATATTTTAAACATTTAAAGTCGTCAATGTTTGAAAGCTTTGGCTCATACTTACGTAAGTCACAGATGTACTTACACACATACATATTCAAAGTTTTCTCCACGTCATCTATACCTTAACTTCTAAGTAAAGGTCGTTTAGATAGAACCATTTTCCATTTATTTTTTATATATAAGCACGTTACTTCAGAACTCTCAGTGGTAGATAGTTTCATAGTTTGACTTAGCACTGAATGCACATGAGAATATAAAGAATATCCATTAAGTAAGCTGAGAGAGTGGATTTTCTTGATTGATATACCAAGTAAGAACATTCTAGTATTTGCTAATTATTTAAATGTATTTTCAAAGAGTAATACTCATTAACTATACCAACTGTTCTGTTCCTTCACTTTTTTATTTAATGTATTCAATAAAGGAAATCCATATACAGTGCTGATGTAGGGTAATATCTTCATTCATCATATACATTCACAAAATTTGCTTAAAGTCTCATAATTCTGGTGTATCTTCTTTTGTGATTTTACTTTCAAGTTTTTATTGCCCAATAGTGACACTTTAACAGCTGAAAGTTGAGAGAGAGAATTTTCAATCGCAAATCAACAGCTAAATTCTTAAATTTTTAAGCCACAGAATATTAATATTAAAAGCTCTATCTGACACGATGTTTGGTGTAGTACAGTCAGTACCGTTTTTAACAAAATGGATCAAAAAACTAAAATAAAATCTAAAGATGAAATTTAAATAAAACTATAATGTTTTGCACTTAGATTTAACCTTCTATACAAAACAATAGTCAATATAAGAAAATATTATATTTATGCATTATATTACTTGCTTTAACAGCTTGATTAGACAATGAAACGAGTAAATTTATACAGATTTCATATTAATTTAAAAACACAGTCCTATGCATCCATTACATCTAACACAAACTTTACGTTCTTAGGTTTTAAATTGTACATTAAATTCCAAATTCAAATATTTAGATTACCATAATTTACAATGTCATAAAACCAAATTCAGACACACATATATCTTTGAAGCATAATTTTATATACATATTTTTCTATTCCTGCGTCTAGTTAAAGAAATAACTAACTCACCTCTTGGATGTCTCTCTGGGGGCATAGGATCATAATTGGAAACCGTAAGGTTCCCGACACCTGGTGGTGAAGAAGGGATTATATTTGTTTGGGTTAGTGGTGAAGCTATAGAATCAATTGTAGACGTACACGTACTCTCCGCTTCTGAAAATTGACTGTCTCCTTCATCGATTACAAGTGGATTGTCGTCATCGGGAATAGGAGGTAATTGACATTCGAAATTCCCTTCTTTATTAAGTTTATTCTGAGTGTTATCTTCCAGAAAACTGTACTTTTGTGAACACTGTGTGTTGTTGAGAGTTATGTGTTCTTGCTCCAGAGCAGTTCTAGCCACATTTTGTTTATCTGGAGAAGAGCAGTGTGAACTGTTGGGCTCATTAGAGTCATCAGAGAAAGCTGTAATACCTCTGTCTAACTGTTTATTGGTACAAAAAGTTAGATTCACACTGCTATCTTCACAAATCTGAAAGTCTGAAACATTGGAGTCAACATTCGAATTTGACATTTCAGTGCTGCACTTAGTGGAAATATTCAACGACCCAGGGATCTGGCTTTCCTTGAAATACCGGCTTTCATTTCTAAGCTTTTCAAAAACGTTACTTTCCTCACTTTTACAATGAATATCATGTTCTCTCAAAAGCAAATCTCCAATGTCTTCTTCTCTCAGTAAAGACTCTCCTATGTACGATTGCATGCAAGCACATTCTTGTTCAATTTGCAAGAGGTTTTCAACATCAAAAACGTCCTGTTTTCCGTTTTTCGTTGATGGCTTTTGGAGAGAGATATCAGGATCTTCTAGGGCTTGAAATGTTGGCGTTTGAATAAAATCTCCATTTGAACTCAACTGGTAAGCATTTGTTATTTTAAAAAGGGAATCCGCTTCTCGGTCACTAGGTTCTTGAATATTTGTAACTGGTGACTGTGAAGGTGACCTCTCGTTGCTACAACACGAATTTGAAGAAACACTCAGAGAAAGAACTTCTTTCCACGAACTACCTTTATGAAGGCTTTTTGGAATTTCGGTTTCTTCCTTTTTCTCAAACAAATTTTCAAACATTGGTTTCTCATCCGCCTCATCTTCTTGGAGTTCATCAAGGTTTCCAGAAAGACTCTTAAGAGCAGCTTCAGCTTCTTCAATTCTTCTTGTAAATTCGTCAGTGTCAGAGAACTTTCTTGAGTCGTCTTCAGATCTTTGATTATTTCCTTCTATATAGCTACAGTCTCCTTTAACAACTTTTTCTTTACAATCATGCCTGTATTGGCCATCCCCAACAAACTTAAATTGGCCATTCCTTTGTTCTGTAATATTTTCAAGTTTTGTTTTCTCAATCAGTTCTGGTTTACCCCCTTGTTTTAAATTATCATTGATACTAGCTTTCATGTTTTACTGTGATGTTTTCCCTTTTCAGTTCGCAAAATGTCACTAATCGAATAAACTTATTTTGATAAAGTATACATTTGTAATGCTTGCAGGGGCTTTGTTACTGAACAAGAAAATACCATAATTTGCTACTGTTACGCTATTTTTTACATCTTTTTGGATATCTTTTTATTATATTTATTGGTATTTTTACCGGAACAATGTTTGGTTTGTTACTCTGAAAGAGTTACTAGTGTTTCAAACAAGTGTTTCTGGTCCTTGTTTAGTCACAAGATATTTCTTAGTAACTTTACTTTTTACATTTTCATTTATCTTTGACGAGAATTTTCCAATCGAAAGTTTATAGACTTGTAGTCATAGAATTATAGTCTTCAATATTTTGCCAGAAAGATCATTCAGTTCCTTTATGACCTAGGACGCTTTTGCTAATCTTCAGTGATGAAATAAGCTCGCAGTATTCTTCAGAATTCTAAAAATGAAACAAAAAAAGTTTACGTTTCACTATTTTATCTCATGTAGACTGGAAACACTAATACAAACATGTATGCCCGACTTCAAAGGTAACTCAATAGTATAAGTAATGCGTGATCTCTCGAGGGAATAAACTTTAAAAAAATAGTTTTAAATTACTAACAACCTGTCTTTTTCATGTGTCAAACAAAAACATTACATTACACTTATTATTTTTGCTACAACTGTGACAAAATTTAGGCCTAACTTAAAAATGCATATTGTACATCAACTTCCCATTTGACAAACCTTAAATTTACAAAACAGAGAATACTCCCGTTTCCCATATGATAGATTGAATGGATAATTTTAAATAACATACATTCGTCACATGCGAAAAGCTTCCAATATAAATAAAAAATACACATATTAATTCTGCTTTTTATCTTCGATGTGACAAACTTTACATTACAAACAGTGCTGTTTCTATGTTACAGAAGTTAAACTGGATATTTTTAAATATGCTTATATTATGAAATAATACGTTATTTGTGAAAAAACATTGTATTTCTAATATTAAAAAATAAGAGTATGCTAAGAATTTTAGATAGTGAGTTAATTATTTCCAAAATGATATAATGCCAATTTGCCTTGTTTTGATAAAATAATATTACAAAAGTAATTAAAAAATATGGCTAATTTGTAATTTTTAATACTACCATAAACTGATAGCAGTTTTAGTGGTCAAAATTAGTTTTGTGAGAGTAACGAAAATATTATAGACCACTAATTGTAAACACAAGAATACTCCTTTTACTCAGTTACAGTGGAACTTGGCTTTATGATTGATAGGGTTTCACATAAACAGTTTTAATGAACAATAAAATATGTTATTTTCTGTAAAACTAAATCTTGGATTCATTATATCTTCCTACTCTGCCACAAAAAGTGAGATATTTTGGCATAATTCGAAGTTCCTATTCCCCCTCCCCCCTCTCTATCTTTGTGCCCCCAGTGGCTCAGAGGTACATCAACGGGCTGATGACACTAAAAATCGGGTTTTGATAACTGTGCTTAAAAACAAACAAACCAAATCTTTATTTGATATCACGTGATTTTTTAAAATTTTATTTTATATTATTATAGCGATGCTTTTTGACGTAACTGTGAAAAAATTTGTTAACTTATTTCAGTGACGCTAATCATTTTCTGAAGTAATTATCTTACAAAGGAAACTTCACTAAAAGTGTATCAGAGCTATAAGTGTGTTGAATGAAGTTTTTCATTAATGTAAGTATGACTGACTCACCACAAGTCGAAACAAAGACCAACGGAAATAATTTAGAAAATACTAAATGCGGAAATTGTCAATAGGATCAACTCAGTCTCGTGAGAGTGAGAGAAGCTAACGCCCAGGAACTCACCAATACAATGTTAATGAGCTTCAGCATTCCAGGACACAGAAAAAAAGGAAGATACAACTCCGGGTTTAGTACGAAAAGAAGACCAAAGAGAGCACCATGGACTGTTTGTTTCGAGTAGTCACGCAAATCTATCTGAGAGTTATCTGCACCAAACATCCCTTACTTTCAATTAATAGACTAAATGGAAGGTAGACAGTCAACAGCAGCCACCGTCAACTCTCGGGACACTAATCGAGTAATGGAATTTGACTGTCATACTTATAACGCTTCCATGGCTCTATAGTGCGGAGCACGAAATGTTTTCTTTTGCGGTAATAGAACGTTAACCATTAACCCACAGATCCACAGCCTAGCACGTTAATCACGAAGTTGAGTTAGTCTCTGGGTTGTTACGTGAGAAACTTTTAAACAGGTCATAAGATCCAAGAGAAATGCTATATCATATTATAGTTTGTGTCATCATAATGTTCTGACATCTCCACAGGCAATGGAATGGTGGACTCCTAAGTGTTAAAAGAACATTCGTAAAATGTTCTTTTCATTTGAATGTGGTGGTCTATTACGTAGTATTGTGGTAATTTCTATTTCATATTATATGTCAGTATTATTGCGAGTTTGTAAGAATCATAAATCGATTATAACAGTACTGAAGAACACCCTTTTCACTGTAATATGCTAATTAGACTGAGCTCATGGTATGTTGTATGACTGCTTTGCTTGAACTATTTAAATACTGAGATAGAGGCATATTACAGTTAGTCTGCAAAACAATATAAGAGCGTAGATCTCTTCAGTTTTCAGTTTAGCAGAAGCATCGTTATCAAAATTTTCTTATGTTGACTGACTGCTCAATGTCATCTTCCAACACAGTATTTCAACAGTGACGATAAAAAAATAAGGATCAAGTTATCAAAAATTTAAGTCATCAACAGCTAATGACTGATCAAGGGAAAATATTATTGGAAAACTCATACACTTCAACAAACACCAGAATGTGCTCCAATTCAGTGAGTCCCTCAGCAGCGCCAAGATTCAATTTTCTCCAACAATAGTATGAAGATAACATTAAAATTGTCATAATATAACTAACAATTACTCAAATACAGTCAGCAAGGTTGAGCTTCTGTTATGTTTAGAGTGCAAAATATAAAAAATGAATTACTGAAACAATGTGATGTGGTCTGATGAGTCAGTTTTCATCATTTTCTATAACGGCCCAGTATTCAGCCCAATATTAAGATGAGAGTCCTAATAAGGTGGCCATTCAATGTTGATTACTTTCTAAAGTGGCTGGAGACAAATTTCTTCAAACATACAAATTTGAACACTGGTAAAGGAGATCATGAACGGGTTTCTTTACATTATTGGTGTGCCTATAAAATTCTACTTGGTTGTAAAGCGATTTTTGACGCAATTCAAGATATTTAAATGGTTATTTTTTTATTATGAAGAAGCTCACAATAGTCTGTTTCAATCCTTTATCAGTTAGCATCATAGAGAACATTTCTAAATCACTTAAAGAACTAAATATCTTCTCTTGTTGTCAAGAGCATAAAAAGATCAGTATCCCTGATTTTGAGCCTTAAAGTGAAAATTCAATCAGAGCCATTATAAACCAGAGGGAACATATATAATGTGGCAATGTAACGTTTTGAGACTGTCGACAAGGATATTCCTACCCTGGAACAGGTTTATGCACCTGTCAGGATCATCAACTACGTTTTCACGTATTCAGAGAAATGACGGCTAAATGCCAAAAATTACTCATAGTTAATTAACTAGTATTTTATTAGGTTGTTAATAATTTAATGTCGCGTTTTGGAACACTTTCATTAACTATCCCCCAAAAAACGTACTTCACGTATAATATAACTAACCGCCCAAACGTCACATTAGTGTAGCCTATATAATTTGTAAAGTTTAGTATACTGTAATCCCTTATAATGATGACACACGACGAGACACACATTCAGCATGTAATGCTGTTTGAATAGAAGAAGGGAAACAACACCTCTGTAACCACAAAGAATATCAAAGAAGTTTATGAAAATGTTTTGAACGTTCGTAAGTGTCAACGATGCTTCAGCATATTTTGTTCAAGTGACTTTAGCCTTAAAAACTGTGATGGCAGAGACCGACATGTTGGAATTGATACTGATGTTCTGAAGACGCTTGTTGAGTCTAACCCAAGGCAACATACTCGTGAAATGGCCCTGAAATTGCATGCCTCTCATGAAACAATACGTAAACATCTAAGAAATATGGGAAAACTCCATAAAGAAAGTGTTTAAGTGCCTCACGAACTCTCCGATAATATCATCGTTTACAACGTGTCAACGTTGCTTCGCCTCTTCTGGCACGTAATGCGCGTGAACCATTTTTGGACAGAATTATCACCGGTGATGAAAAATGGATTCTTTATGCGAATATTAAACGCCAAAAACAATGGCTCAGTCATAGACAAAAACCATTTCCGACCCCAAAACCTGGACTCAATCCGCAGAAATTGATGCTTTGCCTTTTGTTGAGACATGAAAGAAATAATACATTTCGAACTCCTCAATCTACAGAGAACTGTCAATGCAGAGATCTACAGTCAGCAACTGGAACGTTTAAATAAAGCCCTTCAATTGGAAAGGTGTTCTTCTCCATGACAATGCACATTCACATATGGTACGTTTGACGCAACACAAGATTATGAGGTTGGGTTGGAAAGTTCTCCCCCTGTCCACTATATTCTCCAGATATTGCACCATCAGATTACCATCTTTTGCATTCGTTGCAACACCATCTTAATGGGAAAACGTGTGCAAATATGGAAGGTGTTAAAAAGGACATCGACATGTTTTTTGCTTCAAAGCCAAGTGATTTCTTTAACCGGGGCATTAACAACCTGA